TGGAGTCCCGGGATCGAGTCCCGCATCGGGCTCCCTGCTCGGCGGGGAGTCTGCTTCTCCCTCTGACCCTCCTCCCTCTCGTGCTCCCTGTCTCTCTCTCTGTCTCAAATAAATAAATAAAATCTTTAAAAAAAAAAAAAGATGGGCTTTTAAGGCCACCTCGGCACATGGTTAAATTAGATTACCCTTGGGATCAGCTCAGACCTCCACGTTCTCTCCTTGGGAGCTGGTTCAGAGTCCCATATCCCTCAACAGTATTAGGTGTTGAGGTAGGGCAGTCAGTAAGAACAGCCCCGGAGGGGCTGGGGAGGCCTCACCCATAGAGTAGAAGGAGCAGCAGGAGGGCAGGCAGGTTGGCAGGGGCCACGTACGCCCTCTGCTGGAAGGCCAGGAAGATGAGCACCACGATGCATGCTGACACCAAGTAGTTACACTGCATTGGAGATGGTAATTACCGCCATCAGTTTGCAAGGGCGGGAACTACCATCCTCATCCCTGTGCCCCCTCCCAACCTCCCTGTGTTTCAGGTAGCAGGACACGAAGTCTCCCACAATCCCCAAGACTTCCCCCAGGTCATCCTGGACAAGGGCCTGACCGGAAGGGGCCAGAAAGGGGCAGTAGTGAGAGGTAGCCGGACCCCCACCCCTCTAAGCATTGCCCGCACCATGTCCCAGAGAAAGTGGCCGAGCCAGTAAAGAGTGGGAGGCAGGCCCCCCATAAACTGCAGGTGTTTGGTCCGGGTGACGCGCTCCTCGATGAGAACAAGGGTGAAGCTGGCTGGGACGAAGGACATGGCAAAGACCACACAGATGGAGACAAGCACATCCACCGAGGAGGCCATCCTGTGGGCAAGGGTGCAGGAGCTGTTCAGAGAGCTCTGCCCACTCCTGATGGGACAAAGGTCCATGGCTGGTCGGGGAGATGAGCGGAGCCAGTTAGGGCTGCGGTGCGTGGGCTGCTGGGGGAGCCTGGACGCCGCTGGGCCTGATGGTGTCCCGTTCCCCAGGCCTATTCGCACAGCGGGAGTGTGGCAGAGTGCCGTTCTAGCTCCCTCCGCCCAAAATGACAGGGCAGCCGAGGCAGGGAGGGCACGCACAGGCAGGAGTCCTGCACTCACAGTGCGGCCTCAGACAGCTGCTCCTTGGTGAGGTTCAGGGGGTGGTTGAGCGTGGTGATGCTGTGGGCACGGTGGGCAGGGCCTGGGGGCAGCCGGGCGCGGAGGAGTGCGTTGTTGGCTCTGTTGACAAAGGCCACCATGGCGTGCCAGCCCTTGTTGTTGAACCAGATCTGGGGGGGTCAGGGCCGAGGGATCAGGGTGCTGGCGTTGGACCCGCCCCTCCCACCAGCTGCCCACTGCCCCCGGGTCCCACCTTGAGGCTGTCCTCCGCGTCTAGGCTGTGAGCCCATGCTGTGAGGTTGTTCAGGATGCGGTCGAGGGCCCCGCCGGGCGGGGGGCTCAGAAGCACCCGCAGCTCCTCCACCGAGCGGCCCACCTCCTGCCCTGAGGGCAGGCCGGGGTCTCGGCCCCCCAAGGAGAAGCCCCCATACCTGTGGGGCGGTGGGGTCAGGGGGCAGCAGGTGAAGGCCCGGGAGGGTGGGGCAGGCAAGCCCCCGAGCGGGCAGGCAGAGGGCGCGGGAATGGGACCCTCCTCACCTGACCTCGTTCACCCACTTCTTGGTCTTCAGGCTGCAGGAGAGACAGACAGAAAGGCAGACACGGGGGTGGGGGGGATGGGAGTGGGACAGAGATAGTGAGCGATGCTGGGGAGCCAGGGAGACAGGTGAAGTGAGGGGAGGCCCCCAGCCCCGACCTCCTCGTTCAGGGGCCCAAGCAACAGCCGGGCAAACTGAGTCCGGGCGGCGGCTCACCCCTGCTGGACCAGGCGCGGGTAGGTCTTCACCAGGAAGTCGGACAGGTTCCGGCCCGTTAGGTTCTGCACCACTTCCCCAGAGCCGGCCAGCGCCTGGGGCGGCGGGGGGCCGCCAGCCGCAGCGGGGCAGTCCGGCAGCAGGCGCCGGGCACCAGGTTGGCTGCACCAGCAGGCCGGGGACGGGGACTCCGGAGTCCAGTTGCCGCTGGCCAAGGCCTCAGTGACACCTGCGGGCACCTCGGGCACCCAAAACCGGCAGACGGCGGGCGGTGTACACTCAGGCGTCCTGCAGGGGCAGGGCCGGGGGCAGGGCTGTGGGCACCGAGCTTTCCGCAGGCCCGGGGACGTGACGCTCAGCTCCCAGGCGGGCACAGGGATGCTCCAAACCCTCCCCAAGGCCAACCGGCCAGGGCCCAGACAGACAACCTGAGGCCCAAGAGGCACGAGGGTCAGCCGGTGGGCCCCCACCTGGTGGAGCTAGTCTGCGGGTAGGCCTCCAGTCCTGCCTCCTCCAGCAGCATCTCCAGCAGGCGGGCACGCTCTGAGTTTCCTGGGGCGTCCTCACTGTGTGGGGTGCAGCTCAGAGTCAGGTCTACAGCCCTGCCCGTCGGCCTCCAGCCCCCTCTCGCCTGCACCCACCTAAAGAATGACACCTGAGCACCGTACATGCTGGGACTGAGCCGCAGAGCCGGGTAGTATCCGAAAGGAGGCACGATGAGACTGAACACCAGCGCCAGGCCCACGAAGAGGGCAGGCAGCACGATCTGAAGGACAGGCCCATCAACTGCCCTCCCTGCTGTCCCCTCCAGGCTTGCCAGTGTCCTTCCTTTCTCCTGCTCTAGAACCATCCATGGCTCCCCAGTGCTCTCAATAGAGGTGTTCAGTTTGGGGGAGACTTCTGGGGTTAACCACTCAAATTAGGCCACTGAGCGGGCGACCAGAGCAGAGGACAGGCACCCAAGGTCTCCCACGCACTCTCCGGTGCCCAGCCCCCCTCACCTGCGCAAAGAGGCCACGGCGGCTACGGCGGGCAAGCAGAAAGCGCTTGAGAAGCAGGGCCCGGAGCTGTTGGCAGGTCAGCACCCAGCCCTGCACCCGGCCCGCGGGGTCCGGCCCAGAGCCCCGCAGAGCCTGCGTTTCTGGGGCAGAATGAGCTGTGGGGGACGGAAGGGTCAGTGCTCCCGTGGTGGCGGCCTGGGAGGGGCCACGGCTCAGGGCGGGACAGCTCACCATTCTCCAGGACGGACTCCTCGGGCAGGATCTTGAGCCGTGTGGTCACATTTGGGCGAGCGTTGCCTGAGCCCGGCTGCTGCTTGTGGCTACCATCTGTGGGGCCAGAGGGGTTGGGGTCAGCTTCGAGGGCTACCGATCAGCCTAGGGTCTGAGTCAAGGTCCAGGGTCACAGACAGAGGGGCTCAGAAGTCAGGGGTGGAGGTCAAGGCTGCCAGACTCCACCAAGGATGGGCACTTGGCCTAAAGTCAAGTCCCACTCTGGCCCAGGGTTAGGGGTCAAAGACAGGGACCTGCAGCCGCATCCTCCGGGTCTGTGTCCACAGCACAATCCTCTACCACCTTCAGGAAGATCTGGGGACACAGAGCAGGGGCTCAGCCTGGGACCCCCCAGCAGAGAGCCACCCAGCCCTAAGACACTGTGGGTCCCCAGGCCTCCCCAGGAGGCTCTCAGCCTCTGGTCCCCTGCAGATGCCCCTCCGCCTCCCTGGGGTGTGCTGCCATCCCTAAGCAGGCCTCTCCTCATCCTTCCAAGGACACCTCCTCCAGGCAGCCCTCCCCCAGCAGCCGCACCTCTTCAAGGCTGGTGTCGGAGATCCCGTAGCTGGCCAGCCCCAGCTCCCCCAGCCGCTGGTCCAGCTCACAGAAAAGCCTGGCAAAGCTGCCGTCCGCGGCACCCCCATAGGGCAGCACCAGCACCAGCTCGCGCGGCAGCCCCTCCACCAGCCGCGTCCCGGGCACCAGCCGCTGCACGAGGGACAGCAGCTCGGCGGCACCTGGGCGGACGGGGGGGGCGTGTCAAGGGCGCGGCACAGTGGGCAGCCCGGTCTCCTTGGGGAAGGGGTGTGGCCGGCCCCCCGAGGAGCCCGTCTCTGCAGGCAGGGGAGGTTAGGGTGAGGCACCGGAGGGCAGGGTGTGGCCTGAGGTCAGGCCGGAGGTCCACGTGCGGTCAGGGGTCAGCGGTAGGGCTGCCTGTGAGCTCAGCCCAGGCTGGGTTAAAGGCAGGGGCCGGGATTCGGGTTCAACTCAGGGTCAGAGGTCAAGGGTCCCATTGGGCGTCGCGGAGCCCGTTGCCCTGGCCCCTCCCTGGGGCGCGCCCCGGCACGTCTCACCGGCTGTGCCGCCCTGGCTGCCTGGCTCCCCCCTCCGCCCGGCGTCCACGCGGTCCTCCAAGCCAGCGTTCCCCTGCGGGCAGAGGGGCACCAGCTGCCACGGCCGGGGTCACGGTCGCGGTCGGGGGTCGGAGGTCAGCTCCAGCCCTCACCTTGCTGCCGGCGGCCAGGGATGGGGCAGCCTCCGCCAGCGTCAGGTAGTAGCCGGAGCCGAGGTGGCGGCGCAGGAAGAGCGGTGAGCCGCAGCAGCACAACCGGCCTCCGGCCACCACGGCCACGCGGTCTCCCAGCAGCTCTGCCTCATCCAGGTGGTGGGTGGAGAGGATCAGGGTGCGCCCTGGGCAACGGGAAAGCAGGCCACAGTTACCGTCGGGACGCGAGGTCTTCGCAGGAGTTGCCTGCCCTGTGCATCAAACTCCTATCCATCCCTCAAAACCCTATTCCAAGCACTTCCTCATCAGAAACTTCTTCTGGCCCCTGAAACAGAATCTAGGGGAACCTTGTGCCTCCCCCAGCTCTTACCTTCCCGGTATTTGAGCAGCAGCTCCCAAATACTGCGACGGGAAGCAGGGTCCACACCGGCTGTGGGCTCATCTAGGATGACGACCCGGGAGCCACCCACAAAGGCGATGGCTACTGAAAGCTTCCGCTGCATCCCACCTGGGCAGAGACGTGGGTGGGCGTCCCAGCATGACCTCCCCCTTCTTGGGCAGGGGCTGTTGTTCTCCTCCGGGCCCCTTTCCCCACCCTCTGGGTCCCCCAAACCTGGTGTCTCCTCTGGCCTCACTCCACCCTCAGGATAACGTCTCAGCCCCCCTCCCAGCCTCATCTCTACCGACCCGGAGGCTCCTCCCCAGGCCAGGCTCACCGGAGAGGTGGCGTGTCTGTGCACCCCGCTTGGGGACGAGCCCCATGTCCTGCAGGAGACGGGCCTGCTCCGGGCGCACAGCAGCTGCACTGAGACCCTTCAGCCGCCCGTAGAACCAGATGTGCTCATCCACGCTCAGCCTGCAGGCACGGGCGCACACAGTGGCCGCTGTGGCAGGCAGAGCCCCAAGAGCACCCAGCCTCCCCTCCACCGCACCCCAGGCCCTCCAAGACCCACATGTCAAACAGCACGTTGTACTGAGGGCAGACACCCAGGTGGGGCCGGATGGCTTCCATGCTGGATTGCACGTCATGGCCCAGGATGCAGGCGGAGCCCCGGGTGGGTGGAAAGAGGCCACTCAGTATGGACCTGGGGATGAGGGGGTCTCAGGGCAGCTGCCCTTCAGAGGAGGAAGCAGAGACCCACAGAGAAGGGGCAAAAGCACTTAAAAGGCACCTACTATCCGCCCAGACCAAAGGTGTATTATGTCCCCACTTTACAGAGGAGGGAAACTGAGGCTCAGAGAACATGGTTATCTGCCCATTGTGTACCCAGAATGAACTGGGGGCCCCGCCCCCACTGTAGAGACCCAGATGCCTCTCCCATTGAGCAGATGTGCAAACTGAGGCCCGGGGGTGGGGGAGTGGGAGCGGCTCACAGAGTGGTTGTTTTGCCGGCTCCGCTGTGGCCCAGCAAGGCGGTGATCTGGCCCTGGTAGAAGTCCAGGCTGAGCCCGCGCAGGGCCAGCTGCGGGGTGCCGGGAAAGCGCTTCTCCAGGCCCCGTATGGAGACCCCTGGAATCAGGCCCGGTGGTACCTCTTCCATCAGCACTGCAGAAGGAGGGCAGGCTCAACCGTGGGAGCCCTTTGGCGCGGGGGTGGGGGGGTGCAGGGGGCCTGGGGGAGTCTGGGGGACCTGGGAGGCCATGAAGGCTGGTCTGTGGAGTCAGCGACCTGTCAGTCTGGGGTCTATAGGGATTAGGGGCGCCCCGGGGAGCCTGGGGAGATGGAGATATCCAGAGGATTGGGATCTGCAGGAACTTGGGTCTTTGGAGGACGTGAGGGATACAGACAGGGAAGCGGCTGTTAGGTCTCCTTGTGCCTCACCCTCTGGGTCCTTCAGGGTGGGAGGTGGGGAGGAACCCTTGGGAGAATGAGGTCCAAACCAACAGCTCCTCCGAAAGGGAAAGTTCCACGGTTTGGGGATCCCGTACTGGCCTGGGGGGGAGCCGTGCTCAGTTACCTCTTGAGCCCATTGCCCTGGAGCGTGCCAGCTTCTGGCCATACGCCTGGGATCAGGGCATCCAGGCGGGAGACCCCATCGGCCTGCCTCAGGCCATCCCTCCGATGCAGCCAGCTGTGCCTGGATGCGAGGAAGCCGCCCCCCAACCTGCGACGGCCTCCACGTACCAAACGGCCCTGAAGCTCCACCCCACCCCACCATGCCCCCAGCCCAGCCTCCCTTCTGCAGGGGTGCCGAGAAGTCCGTACCCCACCCTTAGGGCCACCCCACCATGCCCCCAGCCCAGCCTCCCTTCTGCAGGGGTGCCGAGAAGTCCGTACCCCACCCTTGGGGCCCACCTGGGCAGACCGCCTCCAGGTACCCGGTGGCAAGGCCGTAGAGCACGGCATCAAGCAGCAGAAGGCCGGAGACCTGGGCCAAGCTGAAGACGCCCGCCACAGGCCCACTGCCCACGTTGTGCCACTGTGCGCCTTCGCCCTGCTCCTCCAGCAGCACCAGGCTCTCGCAGCCGAACCCAAAGGCCACAGGAGACAGGAGGCTCTGCGGTGGGGGCAGGTGCGTGAGTGAGAGAGCGCAGCTGCGCGTGCCCTGCCCTCAGCCCCCCGGGGTCTCACCGCAGCCACGAGGCCGCCGGCAGGCAGCTGGTCCCGCCAGGCCACACACAGCACGTAGGGCAGATAGAGCACGAAGTAGGCGAGGCCTCCACAGGCGGCTGCCAGGTTGGCTCGGGAGAAGAAGGTGCTCAGGAGGAAGCTCTGGACCACAGTGGCCACGGCGAAAGCCGCCAAGAACAGGAAGACCACAGCCGGGTGGCTATAGGGGAGGATGTCCCCAAGCTGCAAGGGGCAAATACAGCTCGGGTCAGGTTCCTGGCTTTGCCTGGGGCACCCCCTCCGCCAGGCGCCCCTGGCCTGTGGCCTGCGCGGCCGGGAAGGCTGGGCTGTGCCCACCTTGAGCACCAGCACGAGCAGCGCCGAGCTGAGAAGGAAGGGCCCAAGGCAGCTGAGGAACCAGCCGAGCCACAGCACGGCGCTGCCGAGCCCCATGGCCTGCATCGTGCAGCGCAGCCTCGTTTCCTTCTCCCGCACCACGGCCTTCACCGTCAGCGCCACCGAGTAGATCCAGGCCAGTGTCAGCAAGAGCGGCAGCGACCGGCTCAGGACGCGCAGAAACCTGAGGCGGGAGGCAGCTGAGGTGGGGGCCAGAGACCCGGCGCCGCCCCCACTGGCAGGACACCTGGCACCTCGAGACCCCTGTTCCAGCCTTAGGGTCCCAGGCGTCAGCACAGGCCCTGTTCTCCCTGCGCCCCGGGACCCCAGACCCTCCCCCTCCGGGTCACAGGGAGTGGTCCTTCTAAACCAGCGGCTCGCAGCCTGGACGGCATGCGTGTTCCCAAGGGAGCCCGAGCCCCGCTCCCAGCCTGAGATCTGCCGCCTGGGGGAGTGGGTGGGGAGCGGGTGCTCACGCATCATCCACATAGCAGGGGTAGGGCATCTGCTGCAGATAGAGGCGGGCCCGGGGCTCGGTGCCGCTCAGCACGCGCACGGCCGCGCGCTCCAGCAGGTCCTGCAGGTACACGAAGCCACCCCACACATAGCGCAGGTCCGTCAAGGGGTCAGCGGCCGGGCCGGGGTCCCAGAACCTGCAGGCGGCAGGGCGGTCGGCTGCGGGGAGAAGCCGGGGGCCACGCACCTCACACCACCTAGGCCCATCCGCCGTAGACCCCGATTGGTCTAAGCAGGCCCGGGCTCCGCGTATCACGGTCTCCCATTGGCGGGATGCCCCCCCAGCCCCGCCCCACACTCGGCCCCGCCCCCACCTGTCCCTGATCTTATTGGTTTTCGTGACGGCATCGATGTCCATGCGGATCTTGACACGCACGTGGCCTGGGCCTCCGAGCTGCGCAGGGTCCAGAGGATCCTCGGGCCCCAGGAAGACGATGCCCGCCCAGAAGCGGCGCTCTGCGAGCAACTCCAACGCCCGTGCCACCAGGGCGGCCTCTGAGGGTGCTGCCTCCAGCTTGTCCAGGGTCACACACTGGGGAAGGGCCTGGGCGTGGGTCCTAGGTGCCCGGGTCCTCCCCTGAACCTCAGGCCGGGCAGTGCTTCTCCCTCGGAGCCCCAGAGCGGAGCCCAGCTCCCCCATCAGATTTCCGCAGGGCGCAGGCTGTGTCCGTCCGTCCTCAGGCTTTCCCTAGGACGGGGCATCGCCCCAGTTCGGTCCCCCTCCCTGGGCTCCCCTCCGCCCTCCGCTCACCACGGGCCCTGCCGACCCGGCTGACAGTGCTCCCAACGGGATGGCCCCTCACCTCCATCACACCGCCCAGCATGCCCACCAGGTGGTCCACGTCAGCATGGGCCGCCCGCCAGCTGTAGGCGCCCCCACGGGGATCCAGAAAGGCGAGCAGGGCCTTGGCCCGGGCCTGGCCTCCGGATCCCGGCCGCCTCCTTCCTGGGTCCTGAGCTTGCAGGAGCCTCTGCGGAGGGGTGGGGGAGCAGGGGGTTTGCATGGGGCACCCCGGGCGGCGTCACTCCTCTTCTCATCCCTGGGGCCCGTCCTCACCCTGGACTCCACAACCCGCCACCACACACTTGCCCAGGAGGCCCTGCCCTGTGCTCTGCCCACATGCAGCAGGGAGACCGTGGGCGACTCTGCCAGCCTCCGTCCTGGCCCCACCTGCAGCATCACCACCTTCGTGCTGTCATTCAGGAAGTTGAAGAGCTGGGGTCCCAGGGCACCCCACACCTCCTGGATATCCTTCAACAGAGCCAGCTCCTGGAAGGTCTGGTTCACCTGTGGGAGGGGGGCACCAAGAGAAGTGCCAGGCCAGCCCTTTCATGACGCTCCCCTCCTCTGAGGACCTGCCCCCCTCCTCCCCAACCTCGCCTCTCCCGCTTCGCTCCACTGTGCCCCTGACCCCTGGCACATGCTGTCCCTCTACCTGCCACCTGGCAGCTTCTTCAAAACCCTGCTTCCACACCCTCCCGGGGCAGGGCCCTCCCTCTGGCCTGGCCCACGCTCGCTGGGCTGAGGGGGGGCGCCCAGGATCACTTCTGCCCTTACCTGGGCCATGAGCTGCCTGGTGAAGGCAGTGTTGGGTGTAAACAGCAGTTTCCCCAGGACCAGCGGCTTCAGACGCCTCCAGAGCAGGCGGGACAGCGGGTGGGTTTCCAGTGACCCCACGAGCTCAGCACAGGCAGGGCCTGGGGTGGGGGCACCATGAGGCCCTGCCCCCATTCCCAGTGCCCCACTTCCCATACTGGAAACAGAGGTCAGTCACTCACTCAGGCCGTCGTCAGGTAGGGTTGCTGCTGGCTCTTGCCCCGCCAACTCCTTTAGGTGGCTGGCCTTGTACCAGTTGAGGGAGGGCCCCCCTGGGATGCTAGGCCCCCGGGCACTGCAGAGGGCCTCTGATACGGCCTCCAGGGGCCCACCTGCTCCTCGGGGTCTCCGCAGCAGTGCCCGCAGCTCCACCAGGCTGGGCAGTGCCAGGAGCTGGAGAGGGGTCACCAGAGGATGCTGGTAACCCTCCCTGCCAGCAGCAAGCCTAACCAGGGCTAGGCACCCTGCCAGGAGCACCTACTCCCTCTCTCCTTCTGCCCAAGCCCTCCAAAAGCCTACCAGCGGAAGTGCCTGGGCTGCCCTGTCACCGGCCATCCAGGCAGCCTACCCTTTCGGTTTGCTGGCTGGGGTGGACGATGAGCGGGCCTCTTACCTCCTGGGCCAGGTCCTCTGCTGCCTCCACAAAGCTGCTCACGGACTCCTGGATGTGGTCCGGCACAGACCCCAGGGATCCCTGGGGAGAAAGACACAGGGGTGATAATGACCTTGACGGAGTTCTCACTAGGGGTCGAGCACTTTGCCACGCTCCACTCCGTGCGGGTCCGTACTATTATAGACCCCGTTTTACAAACAGGGAAGTGGAGGCTGCAAGGCACGTGGACTCGCTCAAGGTCTCACGGGCTGGACACATGCTAGACACGGCCTGTCTGGGCACTAACAGGACGAGGAACGTCACTCCAGGTGCCAGGGACAGCCCAGGCAAAGGCCTGGAAGCTGGAATCAGAGGCCCCTGCCCCAGGATGGGGAAGTACTGGGACTTCCTGAGAGCAGCTTCCCAGAGTCAGCCTGGTCCCCACCCCATCTCACCTCTCCAAGCAGTGTCCCCAGTAGCTCTGTGGTCAGGGGTAGTAGGTCCTGCAGTCGGTCGCTTGGCTGAGGCCGGGCTGGGAGAAGAACACACAGAAGCACAAGGTTAGGCAAAGCCTAGCCTGAGACAGCCCTACCCTGTACCCATTACACAGCTGGGCAGATCGAGGCTCAGAGTGCACCTCTGCCAGCCAAAGGGCCCTGGCCTCCTCACCTGGTCCACCTGCGGCTCTCAGCACTGGCATCAGCTTTCCCAGGCTGGCCAGCGTTCTGTGGGCACTGGGGCCCCCCAGGACAGCACGGGCATCTGCCAGGAGCCGGGAGACCCTGGGGACAGAGGGAGCAGGAGGTGGGGGCTCGGCAGACACCCCTGTGCCCGGGGCCACTGCACCCACTGCCGCTGGCTCACAGGGAGTCCTTGAAGTTGCTGAGGACGCCGGGCTGCTCCCCGGGCGTGGACTGCGGGAAGCAGGTGTTGTTCAGGTTGCAGATGAGACCCTGGAGCCAAGGAACGGTGCCGGCCGAGGGCAGCGGCTTGTTGGAGAAGTGGCCTGTGGGGATGCTGGGCGTGGGGAGCCTTGCCTGAATCCCCACCATGTTCATACCCTCCCCAACAGCATGCTCACTCAGACTTTTATTGGGTGCCCGGTCTGTGCTCTCTGACGCTCTCTGGGACCCCTGTGGGTAGGATGGCACATTGCCTACCCCCCCACACACAAAAAAAGCCTTGTCCCTGGGGGGCTTACATTCATGGTGCTCCAGTGGGGGGTGGGAGTGGCGGACGGCCACCAGGATGAAGAAGAGAAAGAGAGGCCACAGCAACTCCACCAAGAGCTGGATCTGGGGGAGGGGAAGAAGAGGCGGGGGGGTGGGGGACAGTGGGGGGCACCCGGGGCCACTCCCCCCCGGGGCCATCAGTCCTGGCATTACCGGCTGTCTCCTGCGATACAGGAAATTCTTCCAAAGCAGCAGCATTAGCTGCGTCCAGAAGGCCATGGTGGGGATGGACAGAGCACACGATGGAGCGTCAGGCTGAGGACGTGCTGTGTGGCTGTGGGCGAATCCTGACCCTCTCTGAACCTCATTCCTCTATCCCATGGTGCAGGGTTCCTGGAAGCTCTGCTTGGAGCCAAAGAGTAGGCACTTACTAGAGGGTCTCTTGGGTCCCTGGGGGCGGAGTGAGCCAACCGGAGCCCTGCCCGAAGCCGTCCTTGCACCTGATTGGTTGCCTGGGCTGTCCCTCCCTGCAGGGCGGGGGTCCAAAAGGCTATCCGCTAACTCTTCAGGGGGAGGAGCCTCGGCTCAACTCTGTCGTCACCAGGCTCCACCCTGAGCTCCCGGGGGGGTCTCCAGGTCCCGGCCCCCAGCCTCATCCCGGGCCCTGGGAAGGAACGCCCCACCCCCGGCTCTTCCCCAGGGATAAAGGCCAAGTGTTTACCGTGCTGAGCATTTTGCACGCCCGGCTGGAAGCAGGGCCTACCCGGCCCCCCAGAGAGGCAAGCCGAGTCACCCCGCTGGAGGCAGGGCTCCCGCTCTACCCGCCCTTCATGTATTATTTATGGCTGAGAAGAACCACAGGATCCCGAGGATGAGTAAGGAGAAGAGGCAGCGTTGCGGGCTCCTGGAACCAGCAATTCCTGATGCCGTCCCTTGGCTAGAACTGTCCAGCTCTGGCCTACTTCATTATTGCACCGAAGAGGAACTGGGGCAGGGAGGTGCCACGGGCCACGTACGAGGCTGGAACCAGGACCCAGGACCCCCGATCCCCCACTGCAGGCTCTGCTTTCCCTCAGGTGGGAGCTGGGGCACAGGGCTAGTAGGAGCTCTAACGGGCAGAGGGGCTGCAGGTGCATGTTGGCCATCCCCTCTCAGGGGAGTCTACTGCCCAGCCTCCTCCTCGAAATTAGTGGTGCATCCTGCCGCCCCTCACACTCGGGCGGGGAGTGAAGGTGAGCGAGAGTCTGCACTCCGCCCACACCCCCTCATTCCCGGGGAACCTGCCTCCCTCCCACCCACGCCCGCGCCCCGGCATCCTCGAGTCTCGGAGCCGGCCTCTCTCTCTCCGGGACCCTCTCACCTTTCCAGCCCCCACCTCTTGCCGCCTTCCTTCCGCCCGACCGCGGCCCGGGATCACGGCCCCTTTAAGAGGAAGCTCCCGCAGCTGGCCCTAAGCCCCCTGAAGTTGACCGCCTTCACCTCGGAGGCCCGCGGCTGCGCCCGGCCCCGCCCCGCCCCGCCCCGCCCACTACTGTTGGCTGCCGTCCCCTCCACCCGCAGGCCGGGCCTGCGCTAGCCGCGCGCGCCGTGGGAGGAGGCCGTGCGGAGCCGGGTTTCTTAAAGGGACCGCTCGCCTCTTGCTGCGTCACCGTGGGGCGCTGGGCGGTCGGCACACCCCACACGGGCCGACCTCCGGACACGCCGGCCAGGCTGTCTCCCCACATTGCACACCCGCCTGCAGTGCCGCAGCTCCGTGTCGAAGGAGGTCCCTTTCTCCCCACTCTCCCCTGGGGGACCCGGATCCTAGCCAGACTCGGTCCATGACCCTGGGACTCCCATTTGTCCATCCGCAAAGTGGGGGTTCGATTGGTCATCATTTGTTCATCCCACAAATATTCCTTTGGTCCTACAGTGGGCCAGGCGATGGCAGGAGGGGGAGGGGCCCCCCAACATTCTAAGATTAGAGTCCTGGGTCATAACCGTCACACCATTTTGAGGAATACCTCGGGGTCCCGTTCCAGAAGATTGAATAGATTTCCCGAGCTCCTGGTGAAGAGGATACAAGTGTATGGACCTGCAGCCCTAAAG